AGGGTTTAGGGATTAAGGGTGGTTAGGGTTTAGGGTTTAGCAGGGGTTTAAGGGCTTTTAGGGTTTTGGGATTTAGGGTTTAGGGCCTAGGGTTCAGGGTATAGGGTTTAGGGTTTCAGGTTAAGGGATTTAGGGTACCCAGAGACTCCAATATCCTCAAATCATTCTAGGAATCCTGTGATAATTTCAGGAATATTCCTAAATTGAGGGCTATTGCAGTCTCTGGGTGTAAGCCAGGACCCCCAAGCTGTGCCCTTATGGTCCTTAATGGTGGGTATTTAGGGTATATCGGAGGGTAGTTGGGGGGTCTAGGAGGGAGTAGGAATTAGGGCCTAATTAGGGGTTTAGGGTTCAGGGATGGCAGTTCTGTAGTTCTTTTGTGTTAAGTTTTGGGCAGTGCGGTTTAGGGTTCAGGGATATTCAGAGGGATCCTCTGATTACGCAGCGAACTGTTAGTCGAGTTTGCACTCCGACACTGCAACAGCCATCTCAATTCAACATTACATATACCGTACCTCCAGCAAAAGTCCAGGCATAGAATCCCCTCAGTAGACTTAGTTATGGAGTTGAGGGGATCTTTGGGGTGCAGGTGTCAGGACTCGGTGCGGCGAATATGCAACGCAGTGTTGAAGATAATAGCGTTTGATTCCCTTCAATTATTGTGTATGTAGATCTCACATCGTAAACCATTTTGGGGAAATCGAGATCAAAAAGCCATGCTGCCTGGCAAGAAGTCTTCAATGCCGCTGGCCTTGGCTCCGCGCCTGTTGATGTGGACTTCACCTGCCCTTCTGCCGATGAGCTCCTTGCTGCCATCGAGTTCGGATGCCGAAATGGGTGCCGACCAAAGAAGCGGCCGCACAATCAGAGAATGGGTACAGTCAAAGAGTCAAATGCGGGTTTTGACGGTTGGAGCGCTGCTGAACTCAAACTTCTTGCTCGAGCCTGCCCCTGAGTGATTCTCTGGGAGTCCTGTGCATGATGGCTGCTAGCGGCTGGCGAACGACGCATGCGCAACGGAAAGTTAGAATGGCGTTCTGGAACACTTTGTTGTAGAGATGCATGGACGATAAGGGGATGTCATCACCAATTAGTTGAATTTTGGCCCACTTGCTGGCTCTCCAGCCCTTCTGAAGCCTCGAATGCTTCTTACCGTAACACTGCCGTCCGAGTCGCAGCAATTCTTGTGCGTGTGTGTGTGTGTGTGTTGTGTGTGTGTTTTATGTGCAAAGGAGCTTGAATCATAGGGACCCTTAGGGGGGTAGGGGGAGGGGCGGTAGGGGGCCTTGATGCCCGTAATGAAGACCTAATACTTGGAGGGGCAGGGGACTTAGTAAGTCGTGTATAAGTAGGGTTATAGTAGGGGTAACTCCATGTAGGGTACTTATAACTCTACTTATAACCTACTTACTAAGTCCCCTGCCCCTCCAAGTAGACCCTAAACCTTTAAGGAACCCTATAGATCCCTTTAAGGAGCCCTTTAAGAGCCCTTACTAAGTCCCCTGCCCCTCCAAGTAAGTTCTATTCAAAGAAGTATAGTATAGTCCTCTACCCACCCCCTTCTCCTTACCCCCCTAAGGGTCCCTATGTTTGAGATCATTCAAAAGAGCTGGTGATACGATGGATGATATATAAATCATGTATTACCCATAATAGGGAACATGCCATAATTCCCATAGTACTATCGAGATCTCCGGAAAACGTATCCGCACAACTCCAAGTAAACCAACGCTACCTACCTGGGGTTTTAAGTCTACGAGAACCTTAGCCTTTCGTGTGGGGGGCACGGAGACGCTGAACCAGCCTTGCGAGAAACGCTAACCCCCGCACCCTGTAGGGCTTTACCTAGAGGGTCAGGGTATGAGCCTCTAGGTACGGTTTAGGATTTCGGGTTTAGGGGTTTAGAGTTTAAGGTTCAGGGTTTAGGGGCTTAGGGGCTTAAGGTTTTATTGCTTTCATTGGGGCTTTAGGGCTTTACAGTTCGAGCTTTCGGGTTTAGGGTTTAGGACCGGGTTCAGTTGCTTTAATTGGGCGCTTACTTGGAGGATCAGTTATATGTAGTTACTTTACTTATAACCCAAATCACTAAGTCCCATGACCCTTTAAGTAACCCCAAGACTTGCGATAGGCAAAACACCTACTTTAGTAACTCTAGTAGCCTTGATCCGATAATTTGAATCGGGTAGTTTAGGGGCTCAGGAACCCTAATCCGCAAACCCCTAAACCCTAGCTCCTTTCATTTGGGGCTTCTGTGCTTAGGGTTCAAACCACGAGGTCGAGACGAAACAGCCCGTACCGCTAAGCCCTACCCTCTAACCCCCTAAACCCTAAACCCCTAAACCCTAAACCCTAAACCCCTAAACCCTAAACCCTAAACCCTAAACCCCTAAACCCTAAACCCTAAACCCCTAAATCCTAAGCTCTTGAAGGAGCTTCTAGGTTTAAAGATTCGAGGTCGAGACGAAACAGCCCGTCAACGTCCGGGTGGCCCTCGAGACCAACGAGGGTACCGAGAGCACCGTCTTCCCGAGGCAGAAATCAGAGGGCTAGGGTTGAGGGTTTAAGGCTTTCGGGTTTAGAGGTTTAGGGTTTAGGGCTTCCGGGTTTGGGGTTTATGAGTTTAGGGTTTAGGTTTTACAAGTTTAGGGGTCTGGGAAATCAGAGGGCTGCAGGCGTGGGATCGTATTATGGTTCGGGGGTTAATTAGGAGTTTAGGGTTTAGGTTCTTAGATAGGATCAGGGGTTCAGGGGTTTCGGGTTTAGGGGATTATGGTTTAGGGTTTCATCGAGTTTAGGGGCTAGTAGGGTTTAGGGTTTGAGGGTTTAGGGGTTTATGGTTTGGGGTTTAGTAGGTTTAGGGTTTGGTATTCCTAAATATTATGGTTCAGAATATAGCTTACACTGAATTCTACCTACCTTTACTTACCCCACCTTCGGATGACCCCAGCGAAAGACTGTTTCAGCCGATCCAGGGTCCATATGTTAAGGGTTTTACTTTGGAACTATGCTCTCATAGATGCTTGCAAAGGAAACCCACACAACAACTTTTATTAGACCCTAAACCTAAACCCCAAATGCCAAAAACCCAAATCCTAATTTACAACCATCAACGTTGATGTACTTCATCACAAAGGCCTAAAATTCCGGGCAGTAACCTCCAAACTAATCCCTGAACCCTACAACTATCCATCCTTAAGCATTGGTAGCCCCATAGCTCTATGACCTCAAGCCCTAAACCCAAAGCCTCACAGCCCCATGAACCTGAAGCTTGAGCCCCTCGGGTTGAGGGCTTGCTGTAAGCCTTACAATGTAAGGGGCTTGGATTTAGGGTTTGGGTGTTGGAGTTTTGGCGGTTTAGGGCTTATAGGGTTCGGGTTCAGGGATAAGGTAGTAGCCGAAATCCCCAAACCGCCTAAACCCCGGATGTGCTGTCTGACCCTTCTTAGCACCTTTAGCCCTGGAGCTCGCTTGGCAATGCGCCTCAACCATCCTCAGCGGGTGTCAAAGATCCGTCCGTAGTTTCAGAAATACGGCTGGTGGTCAAAATCTTGCAGTACCTTAAGGACCCTAAGCTATGGGAATTATGGTATATTCCCTAGTATGGGTAATGCAGGATTTTGACTATCAGCAGTAGTGTTGAAGGTTCAGGGTTCACCAAGCACGCTTTCCCAAAGGCTCCATGTACCCATATAGTAGAGACTTAGGCCTTAAAGTACCTATATATATAGTAGAGACTTAGGCCTTAAAGTACCTATATATATATATAGGGACCCCGTTAAGGCTTAAGTATCTACTATAAAGCTACATGGAGCCTTTGGGTTTGTTAGTTGCCGTATCTTCCTGAAGACTCGGCACCTTGGTTCTAATCAAAGGTATCTGGGGGAGGGGTTGGCAGCGTTTAGGGCCCTAGACCCTACACCCTTCCTAGGGACTCATACCCTACCCCTTTTTTTCGGTACCTCAAAAAGGGTTGGGTATGACCCTCTAGGTCGGCTGCAAAGAGATCTTTAAGGGATGCTGTCCTCCCGTACCAGCACCGCCAGGCTCCTGTTGCCCTCGAACGAAGTGGGGGCCTTAAACGATGGAGTTGGGAAGGACAGATACTGCTATGGAGACCAGATGTGGCCAGAATCATGAGGATAGGGCTTTTCGGTAAAATACAATAACCGATTGAAGCTACAAGGGAAGACCATCACAAGTTATTCCGTTCCATATAGCTGTCGTTGTCGCAACGCTCGGTATGCAGGCTTGGGGCTCAGGGTGCTACACTGGGGCAACTCGCGCATGGTTAAGGCATGACCTGCTTGCTACGACCATTTCAATCTTCGTTATTGCCGTTTCGAAGGCCCAGATGATTCGGATTAGCGATGCTGTGTTGGACTCGGTCGCTAGTGTTGGGTCTCTCTTCATGTCACTTTCGGTGTCGGCATGGCTCGTGACTGTTATCATTCACATGCTCTGTCGTAGGTGTTGTTGCTGCAGTAGCCATCATCCATTCCACAGATGTAGGTATGGAGGACCGCCAAGTTAAACGTACGCCGAACTGAAACCCTGGAGGGCCAGGGCACACGTCCCTTGCACTGCTGTAATGCCTAGGCCTACAACAGAATTTATAGAGTGGGACTTAGGATTTGGGGTTGGGCTACTTGAAGGATCACGGGACTTAGTAAGTAGGGTTATAAGTACCTTAATTGGAGTTATAAGGAATTATAACCGGAGTTGCCTTATAACCCCAATGACTAAGTCCCATGATCCCTTAAGTAGCGGCTAGCATCATTTAGGTCTTGGGCTACTCGAGCTGTGAAGAGCACAGGGCCCCGACATCCGAAAGCATCCATGGCCCAAACATGGTCATTGTTTATAGGAGGCCAAAAGGAGTTTTAGCCTGTGGGGGTTTAGTAGGGATTAGGGTTCCCATAGTAGGGTTCATATTACACCCCAAGAATCTTAAACCCCCCTTTTGGCCTCCCATCAATTGTGTCCACCTCGCCTTCCGAACCATGGCGTCCATCGCTGTGGGCGTCGTCCTCATGAGCGGCAGGACGTTGATGTACTGAAGTGTCCCAGTGCATGACTGCGAAATCAACTGGCCAGTTTAATTGTGCGACTAGCCGTTGCAGAGTTAGTATTTAATTATAGCGCACAATGGTCGAGCTGTGTGCTTACAATGTGAAAGCTTAACTTATTCAGCCGTACAGTAGCCAAACCTTGGGTACGGCCCCCACTCAGTAACAGTTGGATAATATTCTTTATATAGATATATAAGGCCCTTAATAGTAGCCCTATTATAGACTGTTACTGTATGGGGGCCGTACAGTAGCCAAACCGCAGCTTCGTCAGCTCCGCAGGAAGGCCAACGTTGAGGTGCCAACAACTGCCTCACTGGATGAGCCTCTTAGCTACTTGTGGCCAGGGGTCTTGGGGTTTGGAAGGGTTTAAAGGTTCAGGGGAGACACTCACGTAGTTGCAATCAAAACCGGAACTCGAATTTCGATCATCCTTCAAGCTGTTTTGGGAGAAAGGTAACGAACGAATGCCGGATGCAAGAGATTAGAGCATGGTCTTGCTGCCTTCACACGGTTTGTTTGCATTGGCACAAGCACCAGTACGGTTGCCCTTGAAGCCCAGATCGCAAAAACGCATCGCTTGCGAGGCTGAAGCAGCATGCAGAGAGTGCGTTGGGAATTCGGGGCAGCTTGCTCGACTCCTCAGGCTGTTTGCTCGAGGCTCGCAACGCTTCGAGCATGGCGGAGGGTTTCGGTCGGGTGTGAAGAGTGGGAGAGTTGGGGGGAATTAGGGTTTCAGAATTTGGGGCGGGCCTTATGCAGCAGCTAGTATGCCGAGACATCTAATAAATGATATGCCGCCCCACTTGTGCAAATGGTGTTTAAGTCCCTTGCATGTATATACAGTTTACTTGTACCTGCTGGTATCTACGTCGTCTATCAGTTTCTGTATGATCTGTCTCTCTCTCCTCTCTCTCGTCTCTCTCTCTCTCTCTCTCTCTCTCTCTCTCTCTCTCTCTCTCTCTCTCTCTCTCTCTCTCTCTCTCTCTCTCTCTCTCTCTCTCTCTCTCTCTCTCTCTCTCTCTCTCTCTCTCTCTCTCTCTCTCTCTCTCTCTTTGTCTCTCTCTCTCTCTCTTCCTCTTTCTTTCGCCGTGTTCTTCGAATTTTGATCTGCCTTTTGCACCTGTCTCTGCAGGGCCGCCAAGCAGTATCCGAAACGGGTCTGCAGACACTTTTCTGGAAATGAAGAGGCGGTCTCCAGCGGTAGGCCATAAGGGTACTTGAGGGTTTAGGGGGTTCGAGGAAGGATGAGGGTTTGGGGGTTGCAGGAGGTTTTCAGAGCAAGGATTTAAGGATTGGGTTTTAGAGTTCCGAGATATAGTGTTCTGGGGATAGGGTTTACCAAGAACGGGCTTTGGGTTTAGGCAGTATTGCTAGGCCTTTGGGTTGCAGTAGATATTAGCGTGCAGCACGTGGGAGTTGGGGGGAGAAGGGTTTTGAAATATGTTCAACGTATTGTGTGAGTTTTAGGGTCTCGTGCTTGCAGCTTTCCCACAGACTGCGCACTATGAGAGGGAGCAGCTGGAAGTAGTCACTCGCAGCTAAGTCATACAAGGACAATGCTGGAGAACTTAGCAAGTCCAGGAGAACGATACAAGACGCTTGGGGCTTGAAGACAGGGAGGTGCGTGCTCTAAGCTTTATGGGTTTGTGCAGCTTGCTATAATATGACCCCTAGCAGCACTAGTCCCTGCTAGAGAGTTCGCGGTGTGGGGTTTAGGGCTCCAACCAAGGACGGGCGATGTCCTCACCTTGCACATAAGGCCGATCTCTGTCGCTGCCACGCACGGGGCCTTTGCAGCCATTCTCTCCGATGCAAGTGTGGTGAGCTGGGGCCATGGAGAACTTGGTGGCGATTGCCAAAGCAAACAGTCTCGAGAGCATCCCAGAAACGTGTGGTTCTTAAAGACCACTGATGTTGCTGTTGCAGCTGTACTGGGCAACGGGAATCTTACCTTTGGTTAGTAGGGAATGGAAGAATGGTAGTAGTAGTAGTAGTAGTAGTAGTAGTAGTAGTAGTAGTAGTAGTAGTAGTAGTAGTGATACTTGTAACCCATTCTTCCATTCCCTACTAACCAGAGCTAAGGAATGTGCTGACCTGGGGCTATGCATTCCACGGCGGCGACAGCAGCAGCGTCCAGGATCAGCTTCAAAACGTGACACACCTTCAGGCCCGATGGATCGAAGAAGGGGTAGGGTTTAGGAGTTACGTAAGGGTTCAGGGTTTAGGGGTTTAAGGGTTTTTAGGATTTAGGGATTTAGGGTTTAGGGTTTAGGGTTTCAGGTTTAAGGTTTAGGGCTTCAATGGGCTTAGAGTACTTCAAAGGATTCCTACTGAAAGGACTAGGATAGAGGGGGCCCTTGAACCCGTGACCCTACCCCCGCTGTCTATCCTTGAAATTCCTTCAGAGGATCGCCCTGCTTCAGGCTACTAGTTCTGCCTTCGCTGCCGTTCGCAGGGACGGGTCCGTGGTGACCTGGGGCTTGGCTGAGCGCGGTGGCGATAGCAGCACTGTCCAGAAAAGCTTGAGGAACGTGCTGCACATCCAGTCTACTCAGTGTGCCTTTGCTGCCATTTTGGATGATGGCTCAGTTGTCACCTGGGGCAGTATCAATGGTGGTGGCGACAGTTCTGCCGTAGAAGCGCAACTGAAGGATGTGCACAGCATTCAATCGACACAGAGCGCTTTTGCTGCAATCCTGCGAAACGGCTCCGTCGTGACGTGGGGTCGCCATGAAGCCGGGGGCGACAGTACTGTGGTCCAGCACCGGCTAAAGAAAGTGAAGGATGTCCAGTCCACGTTGCATGCCTTCGCTGCCATTTCCGAGGACGGGTCTGTAACAACCTGGGGTCACGCCAGCCACGGCGCCGACAGCTCTGCCATGGAGGGGCGACTGAACAACGTGCATCAAATCCAGGCTACAAGTTCTTCTTTTGCCGCCCTCCTCATGGATGGTTCGGTGGTGACACGCCGAAGGGATTGGCCCACTACATAAAAACCTGAACGTCGATTACGCGACAGTCGTCAACATTAACCAGCAGAGCCCAGCAGAACCCACGAAACATCACAGTCTTGATTCACACATGAACAATGTACATGTAGCTGCTCATGTTTCCAAGGTGACCTGGGGTGACCCACGCGCGGGCGGCGACAGCTCTTCAGTGCAAAAGAAGCTTCGCTTCGTTGTCCAGGTTCAGGCGACACAGACTGCCTTTGCTGCTCTCCTATATGACGGATCTGTGGTGACCTGGGGGCAGCAGCGACATGGAGGGGACAGCAGCGTTGTGCAAGACGAGCTGAAGAATGTACAGCAGATCCAGGCCAGGGCGCTGGGTTTTTGCTCGGTTGCGCCCATGTTAGGAAACCTGGAGGAGCCCCTAAACCCCTCAACCCTACAACCCGACAACCCTAAACCCCTACAACCCTAAACCCTATAGATTAGATACCTTATGGATCCTTTTAAAGGAACCCCATAGATCCCTTTAAGGAGCCTTAAGAAAACCCTACACCCTAAACAGGCCCTTTGGCCATTGAAACCCAGTGTTTAGGAGGACCTGGCCATAGTGTCATGCGAGCATTGAGCTGCCGACCGAAGTTCGTTCAGGGTCTATTTCCCACCACCTAATATGGGTGGTTGTCAAAATTATGGTCCTGTTTTGGGTAACCTAAATATTAGGTGCCGTAGAATTATAGGGGATCCAAAATGAGACCATAATTTTGACAACTACCCATATCGAAGCCTAACAAGTACCAATATTACTACTTAGCAAGGGTTCCTCATTATGGGTATTTTACAAGGGGACCCAAAACTCGGTTCTAATTACTAGAAGACAATTGGCCCGAAAGCATCATTAGCGAAGAGTTTAGCGCTACGTTATAGAATCCAGTGCATAGAATTATAGAGTCATAGCGCGAAGTGCATCTTATTATGAAGTATATGGCAATGCCGAGATCGATATTTTTGAATCTATGAACTTGACTCTACGTGTTTCACTCTGCGTTCCTCAGTCGATGTTGTCAAAGCTGTCGAAGCAATGTATAAACTTAAGTATATGAAGTCAACTGCATACGGCGAAGTGCATAGAGTCAAGTGCATAAGTCAGGTGAATAAGTATCTAGAGTCATGGTGTCAAGTTGTTTCAGTGCAGCCAGATCCGGTGGTCGGTGATCGCATTATAGTGCTGCGGTATCCTTGGTCGGAGCTGATCCAGCAGGGAAGACGGTAGAGATTCGATCGAGGCAGGTAAAGAACAGTCCTCAGTATGGTAAGGTGATGCAACATGTTCATCCCTCCGAGCAAAGCATGCGGGTCATACATGTGCAATGAGAAAGCCTCTGCAATCGACGTAGAGATTCCGAGCCTGAATAAGTCATCGAGCAGGCACCGGCGACGCCTCATTGCAATACAAACTGACTCACGCAAGCAGTGACCAACGGCGGTGATTCCCCATGAAGCAGGTGATCGCATTATAGTGCTACGGTATCCTTGGTCGGAGCTGATCCAGCAGGGAAGACGGTAGAGATTCGATCGAGGCAGGTAAAGAACAGTCCTCAGTATGGTAAGATGATGCAACATGTTCATCCCTTCGAGCAAAGCATGCGGGTCATACATGTGCAATGAGAAAGCCTCTGCAATCGACGTAGAGATTCCGAGCCTGAATAAGTCATCGAGCAGGCACCGGCGACGCCTCATTGCAATACAAACTGACTCACGCAAGCAGTGACCGACGGCGGCGATTCCCCATGAAGCATCCTGCTCGGCAATGCGCCGCGATAGACTTAGAGCTTCCAACAACTCCGCTTGGGAAAATTTGCGCCCGGTTGACTTCTGCAGCGCATCCGCCAGCGACAGCGAGCCCACACAACTGATCGCGAGTCCGCTTCCCGAGCTCGTCGCGGAGCCAGGCTTCGCCGTGCTCGGCGCAGCCCTCTCGCAGCTCCTGCAGCTTTTGCTCCGACGCAGCAACAGCATCGACCTGACAGCAAAGACTTCACGTGAAAGCACGAAACATCTAACCTGGCCCCGACACTGACGCCTCACTGCAAGACAAATTGACACAGACAATGATCAACGACATCGATTCCCCATGAAGCCTCCTCCTCGACAATGCACTGTGATAGAGCTTATACCAATTCCAGCTTGGATAGAGTGCGCCAGGACGAGCCCTTTCGCAGGCCTTTCAGCTGCTATGGCAGCAACACCATGTGTCCACCCCGGCCTTTTCGCAAGACAGTGTCTAGTCAGGCAAAGAACCGTCTTAAGTATGGTGAGATGCTGCAACGTATTTTCCCTTCCGAGCAGAGCGAGGCAGGTAAAGAACAGTCCTCAGTATGGTAAGATACTGCAAGATATTTCTCCTTTCGAGCAAAGCATGCGGGCCATACATGTGCAATGAGAAAGCCTCTATAATCGACGTAGAGATTCCGTGCCTGAATAAGTCATTGAGCAGGCACCGGCGACGCCTCATTGCAATGCAAACTGACTCACGCAGGCAGTGATCAACGACAGCGATTCCCCTTCAAGCGTCCTGCTCGGCAATGCGCCGCGATATTCTGCTGCGCATCCGCAATGACAGCGAGCCCACGCAACTGATCGCGAGTCCGCTTCCCGAGCTCGGCGCGGAGCCAGGCTTCGCCGTGCTCGGCACAGCCTTCTCGCAGCTCCTGCAGCTTTTGCTCCGACGCAGCAACAGCATCGACCTGACAGCAAAAACTTCACGTGAAAGCACGAAACGCACGGAGCCAAGTTTCACCGTGCTCGCCAAACCCTCTCGCAGACCATTCAGCTGCCGTGGCGGCAACGCCATGGTACTATGTACTCCTACTACTACTACTATTATTATTATTACCATCTACTATTACTACTATTACTATTATTACTAGTATTACTACTATTACTACTATTACTATTATTATTACTACTACTACTACTACTACTATTACTATTAATACTATTATTACTATTATTACTATTATTACTATTATTACTAGTATTACTACTATTACTACTATTACTACTATTACTATTATCACTACTATTGCTCCTAACTCCTATTACTACTATTACTACTATTACTACTATTACTACTTTTTCTCCTAGTACTACTATTACTACAAAAGTGTTGACTTTACCTCGCGTTCGAACACTCGACAACGCCAATCTCTGTGAAGGGTTGCGAATTTCACTTCAATGCATATCAAAAGTAATAACTTTACCTCGCGTTCGTGCGTTCGACCGTGCACGCCAATCCCTGTGAAGGGTTGCAAAATTCAATTCAATGCACATCAAAAGTAGCAACTTTACCTAGCGTTCGTGCATTCGACCATGCCAATCCCTGTGAAGGGTTGCAAAATGCTAATCCCTGTGAAGGGTTGCAAATTGCACCTCAATGCACCTAAAAGCGCTTCAAAGTAGCAACTTTGCTTCGCGTTCGCGCACTCGATCATGCCAATCCCTGTGAAGGGTTGCAAGTTCGTGCACTCGACCACGCCAATCCCTGTGAAGGGTTGCAAATTGCGCCTCGAAGCGCATCAAAAGTAGTAACTTTACCTCGCGTTTGGGCGCTCGACCATGCCAATCCCTGTGAAGGGTTGTGCGGCGCGCCTATTAAGTTAAAAAAATGTGTAACTTTACCTCGCGTTTGAACGCCCGAGGAGGCGAATCCCTGTGAAGGGTTGCGCGGCGCCCGAAAAATGTGTAACTTTACCTCGCGTTTGAACGCCCGAGGAGGCGAATCCCTGTGAAGGGTTGCGCGGCGCCCGAAAAATGTGTAACTTTACCTAGCGTTTGGGCGCTCGACCAAGCCAATCCCTGTGAAGGGTTGCACGGGCACCGCATTAAGTTAAAAAATGTGTAACTTTACCTAGCGTTTGGGCGCTCGCCCATGCCAATCCCTGTGAAGGGTTGCACGGGCACCGCATTAAGTTAAAAAATGTGTAACTTTACCTAGCGTTTGGGCGCTCGCCCATGCCAATCCCTGTGAAGGGTTGCACGGGCACCGCATTAAGTTAAAAAATGTGTAACTTTACCTAGCGTTTGGGCGCTCGCCCATGCCAATCCCTGTGAAGGGTTCACCCGGGCGCCTAAAATGTGTAACTTTACCTAGCGTTTGGGCGCTCGAGGTGGCCAATCCCTGTGAAGGGTTCACCCGGGCGCCTAAAATGTGTAACTTTACCTAGCGTTTGGGCGCTCGAGGTGGCCAATCCCTGTGAAGGGTTGCGCCGGGTGCCTATTA